ATATAAGTGACTCAACATGTATGTATAATAATAAAAAATATTACATTCTCACACATATGATTAAAATAAACCAATCTATTCAGAACTACAGCAAAATGAGAGGTTGCCTTCATAACAACATATGGTTGATTGCTTGCTTGCTGAGCATCACTTTTTTATTTCTCTTTTAGTTTGAAGGTTCTGTTGGCTACATCTGGTGTTCCACAGGGCTCCATACTGGGCCCTCTGCTTTTTGTATTCAATTGCTTTCTCTTGGTCAATTACTAAAATTATGTGTGATCTGAATTATCATCTCTTCTGTGGTAATACTCAAATCTTTGTCCACGCTAAGCTTGATACTGAACTGTTTCAGTAGCCTCTAATTGCATTCTTGACACAAAAGTTTGAATGACAAAAGATTAGTATTATTATAAAGAGTAAAAGTTATTGGAAGGTGTTTGATTATGTGCATAATATCGTTATTATAAAATACAGTATCTCTCATTTTAATCTATCAAACCTAATCGCCACCTTCAGTCTCTCACATTAATCCAGCATATATATAGCCTATATATCAAAACCCTTTCTGGACCAACAGAATTATTATATATATGTGATTTAATCTCCATTCTTGCATTTCTCCATTTCTTTAGACACAGTGATACAGGGTAGAAAGGAAACATATATAATTTAGAAAAAGTCCAAGACATACAGTATACACACCACATTTTGGTGTGTTTTACTGCCTCAAGAAAATGACTGTTTATTTGCATTAGAAACATTTTTTTTCTTTCACAGAAAACAGTGTCAATGAAGATTTTTTCTGTTTCGCAGCACATGACCTCTACACTCAAGCCCCCCAGTTGCCTCTGTTCTCTCCTCGTGGAAGTTCTGTTCTGCTGCCGCGTGTGCACAGTTCACAGAAAGAACACACTGTGAAACAAAGGCAACTACCAGCCATCACCGGCTTAGCAGCAGGGGATAAGGGGGCTGATAGCTCCTCTCCTGTTTCCTGTGAGCAAAGAAAATCTTTTAATGGTTGTAGATAAGTGGCAAAATGAGCAATCTCTTTTTCTGCTTTATGTAACAATATACATTGCAGCTGGAAATATAAATTGCAGCTGGAAGATCATTAGGATTCATAACATGGAGGGAACATTGGTTACATGAAACAGGGAGCATCTGTAACTTGGATGGTGGATTTGTCACAACAAAAATGTTTTTGTTGTATGATTTTTAATATTGCTATTACTAATAATTTTAATCTTTAATTTCCAATCTGCACGATCATAATAAATCTGATGCTGAACCTGGAGCACAGCCTCTCTTGGGCCTGGGCAGTTTGTATTCAGGCCCACTACATCAAAGTCTATAAGGAGTTTCAGGAGACTCCATGAACAGGGTGGCTAACCAGTATTAACGTTATCCGTTTAGTTGTTTGCATTGCAACCAGGTTAAAATATAGTGGATTGTTATTGGCTTTTCTAGTTTTAAAGAGAAAATATAACAGATTAAGTGTCCAGAGCTTAATTGCAGCAGAATCCAGGAATATATCTATTGAAATATAGCATTAAATACATGTCCACGGAATAAGTGTTCTATGTACTGTAGTTATAAATAACTATATAGCTTGTCTTCCTTTTCTTAGAAGTTGGACAAATGCTGGTATGAAACTTGAAAGTAAATGTTTAATTACTACATTAATATGACTCATTTGCAGCATACAAATATGTAGTCACGTATAATAGAATGAAAGTGATTTTTAAAAACTTAGTGACTTTCATATTTAATAAACAAGCTTTTTTTACAGGGAGAGTTCCAAAATCCTACACAGCACCCGCAAGTGTGACTGGGAAGTCAAACAGGTACTTTTCATGTTCACACAAAAGAACAGTGTGAGTTTATCTTGAATAGTTCTCAAAAGAGTTAGCAGCCTTTAATCACAGTGCTTGTTTCTTTTAATTTCACATGAATATTCCAAAAATCTGTAAGTAAATTGGATGAATGTTTTGTGTAAATTAATCTACTGCTTTGAAACAGAAGTAAACTGAAGTTGTTGAATTAATTATTAAAAAAAGTATTTTAAAATTATTAAGGTGTACATGGAATAACTATTTTAATGATGACTTTTCACACATTACAATTTGCAATATTTCAAATTTATATTATATTTTCAAAATCTTAAAACATTGATATAAACACAGTATTCAGTGAAATATTGGGTCTATTGCTAATAAAACAGAATATGTTAAAAGTACTTAAATGAGGATATATGCACGGTCAGGGTATTTTTCTAACAGACAGCATCAGCTATTCTTGTTATATCTGCCCGCACTGCGGAGCAGCAGGGCGGGCGAGGTTCGACGCGGCAGCCGGACCACCTGCAGACTTGGAGCACCTGGGTGGGACGGTGTCCGACCATGCCCGCCCCAGGAGTTTTTCAAGATAAATACTGAGATCTGACAGAGCACCCTGTGCAGACCCAACCTGTGTGCTCTGCCTGCTCAGCCTGGTCTCAGGTGTGCACAGCACAGCTCTGCGCAGTTCCCTGCCTGCTGCCTGCCGGCTCTCCCCCAGCACTTGGGCTCTCTTTACGCCTCAAGATCGTGCTACTAGTCCTGTCTCAGAAGTGCAACGTTACAACTTATCATATCATTTTTGGCTGTCTCTATTTCCCCTAAGAAAGTCTTAGCGTGCCTTCGTTTAACTTGCTGGGTAAATATAAGGGCTCGGTGCAGGACTTTTTCATGATATCCAGAATCATTTGTCACAACACCATGACACAGTCAACCAACAACTGTTCAGCTGTTTCTGTGGATTCTAGTTTCTCTAAATTCAATAGGCCTAAATGCAATAGCTTAATGTTTTGTACAGTGCCTCCACTAATTACTCTGGGAAGACTTTTCAATTGTCTGACAGGATTGGAAATATTCCTGGAGCTTTGCACATGAACTTCTAACAGATGGCTTGTGGTTTTATCTTTTTCTCCCAAACCAGAAAAAAATAAAGTAAAGGTCCTTGTATGGGCACATATTTTTCTTTACTTTTGTGAACAGTAAAGCAGATTACATAAAGTAGTAATAAAACAGATGAAATTGTGATGGCAAAAAAATGAAATTCTAACAAAAACCTAAAAGTTAGACAGACAATGGATCCTATTTTCTAAATATATTTGTTCTCAGAAGATAATCTCCTCCAACAATAGCAGAATCATAACTGTTGATTTTGATTAGTCAAGCAATTTCTATTTCTGATCTTAAGAGTAACATGAATAAGAGTACAATATAATATGGAGTTTATATTATAATATATTGTTCAACCTAATGTTTTTTTCAAGTGACCATAAGGACTGGGACACAGTCACTTTTTAATAAACTTTGGAGTGTAGGCGTCAGTGTTTGATTGCACATTCCCCTGTTGTCTGTGTCAGACTCTTTGCAAAATGACTTGATGGAAAAATAACAGTAATGGCTTTGTAGTCTCAAGAATTGTGGAGTACACTGTTTACTGCGTATGTTTAAATGGAATTAGTGCTGTGGTGAATTATAGGTGATGCTTAATAAATAAATGGTGCTGTTTGTTGTCTAACAAGTATATTCTATGTTTCTGTAGTGAAGGAAAATGGGAGTCAGAAAGAGTCCATCACCACCAGAAACCATCTGTGCAAAGGTGAAGAAAGTGAGTGGAGCAATACAGGCATTAAAGAACACATGTAAAAGGAGTCATTAATTAGTGTGTTCATCTTCAAGTTTTATTGCCAATAAAATACCTAATAAAAATGTATTTTGTACTTTATACTGTATGTTTCACTATACTGTACTTGCTCACTTGAACTGAACTGTGTCATTTCACAGACAGCAAAAATCAAAACTAAAACAAACTTGGATCAAATAAAAAAAAAAAATCAGGAACATTGTATACATTCCTGTATGCAAAGGAACAAGTAATAGGTTTATTCCATGCTGAAAAAAAGAAGAAAGAAAACACGACGCTTCGGCCGTGGAGCCTTCTTCAGGCACCTGAACACAAGGAGAACACACAAGCTCCCTGCAAAGAGCACCCCAGGTCCAAAATTGAACCCAGGGCCCCAGCACTGCGAGACACCAATACTAACCACTGCGCCACTATGCCACCTGTATGTAAACATAAGCACAGAAATTGCAAAGACACTCTGCTTGGAATAAAGCGGTATTTTAATCTACTGTAGGTTTCTAAACTACAAGCTATTGACATGAAAGAGATACCATCCAGACCAAAATGCTCGGGGAAGTAGATCTACTCTGCAGCCGCATATAGTCCATTACCTGGGACACCTCTTTATTCTAATAACGATATCGATTCTAAGAATCCAAATTAAACAACCTACAATGTACATAAAGGTACTATAGGACAATATACTTATACACTAGATACTATAGGATGGTTTATGTATTCTCATTCATAAATGGCTGGAAATGCCACCTTTCCTTTTAAACCATGGAGATATCGGTACTTAATATTCGCCTCTTGGCAGTAAACCTTGTGTTTCACTATTTTGTGTGGAAAAGTAAATGTATTCATTTTTAGAATTTTGACACATTCTTAGTGGGAGGGGAAGACCGAGATTAGGATGTGAAAGGGTGAACTTAGAGCTAGTCAGTCTTGCTTAGGACTCAGTTGAGTGAATACACTGTACTGTATACTGCTGTTAAGGCAACCTTTGGAAAACTGAGAAAAGACACATTTTTGTTTATTTTCTTGGTCATTTATCCGTTTTAACTTCTACTATCTTCAGTTTCAACATTTATCGTTTTTATTTGCTTACCTTGCTTTTTGATCGCTTTATCTTCAAATCTCCTGAAAGACATCTATGGCTTACTTTTTCACTACTGGTTCCTATGATTTGTTCAGTTCCTGCTGTGATTTATATACCTACTACACAAGCACATTTTCACAGATTGCTACTTGCTTAATGATCCAAGACTTCCATCCAGCTGTTTCTTGGATCTCAACTAAGGATTCCACTTAAATTAACTTCAGTCATGTGTTCAGGACATTTGTTCCAGATTTCCACAATCCTCCATGAAACAAAGTGTCTCCTGCTCCTCCTAAACTTGATTCCCTGCCATGTTCCCCAGGTTCTTGTATTGGTGCTCAAATTGAGGAAGTCATCTGAGTTGAAACATCTTCCTTGGTAATTAATATCTTAATCTTAAATTATGCTGTAATCCTTTCTGTTCTCTTGATCTGTGTGCATATGACATTACCTTCATACCAGGTATTACAATGATTGCTCTCCTTTCTACGTACCTCCAGAGCAGCAATATATTTACTGTAGTATTTTTACAACTGAGCACATTATGTCAAGTGAGTTCTAACTACCCTGTTGTACCTCATTACATCTTCTGCATAATTGTTTTGACTTGATGAAGACTGTACCAGCTGCTTTGGAAAGCAGCAGAGATCAGGCGTATATTCTATTGTTTTGAGATTTTTCCAGACCAGTAAAGAGTTCTCTGTCTTTGTAATTGTTTGCAGGTTTATCATGTCAGCTAATTACTAAAGACTAAGCCGGGCTCTTCCTCTGCCTTGGATTTAACATCTATTCCTAAAAAGGAATTTGGAAAGGGCTTTTCTCAATTGTGCCATCCACTCATGAAGGCGCTATTTCCTTTTTATTTTCTCATTCTTCATATGAATAATTTATTTATTTCAGCAGAACGTCTGCCAGAGAGAAGAAATGGAAAAAAACAGCAGATGAAACCCAGACTCTGGAATCGAGAACGCCTCTCACTTCCAAAGCCACAAAGAAAGAAAATCTGAGGTCCCAAAAACTTTTTTTATTCTTAATGTGAAACAATGTACAAATTTCCTGTCTCTAAAAACATTTTATGCTTCATGGATAAGTTCATATATACTGAAGCATACATGTGGGTTTCATTTCATCCTTAACGAAGCAACAAGATTTTTCCTTTCTGAGTGCATGTTACACAATTTTAGAAGATGTTTGCACTCACATGCTCATCTTGTACTCCTCATTACCCCTGAGTATGAAATTAAGAGAGTATGACATCACTTGGGTTGTTAAAGCGCATGGTTGTGAATTTTTGTGTATTAAGGTGTTCAACTGGTTTTAATCACAGTTACTCACTGAAACAATCCTCAGAATGCTGCTGGCTGGAATATCACAGAGTGAAGTTTCTAGGCCAACTGGGGCCCATCAATCTACCATCATTAGTCCAAGCAGTACCACTGTCCTACTTGAAGTGCCTGTGATTGACACAGACCAGATCAAATGCATGGAAAGAAACACAAGGGAGAGAAATTTCCTCTTTACACAGACATCTACAATAGCTTCAGATGTCAGGTCCTATGTCTGGTGCACAACCACGATTATACAGTAAGTATCTTACATGAGGAAGATCATTAAAAAGTTGCAGATATGACAGAGGCAATTTGACCCACCTTATTTACTGTTAAGCACTGAACATTAAGCAAATGATGTAGATAGTGCTTACTTTAGATGAGCTAAAGTCTGTACTGATTAAACACAGGCACGTCTAGTTTCTGGTTTCATGTAGACAACACTAATCAGCCTCAGCCGAAGAAAAAAGATTTACTGAAATCCGAGATATGTATTTTTCATGACCATGTTTTGGGCTAAAAAAACCTAGAACAATTCTGTGCGCAGGGATGGTCAAAAATCCCACTCAGAATTGGTAGAACCTCATAACATACCACAGGAGGAGTCATGTCAGTATACTCCATGGCAAGGGAGGATTTACAAAACTGGAGTGGGAGTAAATTTGGCCCTTGAGTTTTCTGGAATTCATTTAATTATTTAGATCAAATTTGACAAATACTCTGTACAAGAGAATTACGATCACACTATATTAAGTTTTTAGTATCAAACTAAAAACCATTTTTAATTAAAAAAAAAATACTTTAATGAGCAATAGAGCTGTCAATTACTAACATACAGTCGGGAGCCATATCACTCTGCAAGTCACAACTTGCAACACACTAAACCTAAGCAAGTGTGAGCTTGGCCAGTACCTGGTTGGGAGACCTCCTGGGAATGATAAAGATGTTAATTGGACCATTATGAAGTGCTCATCCTGTGGTCTATGTAGGTCCTTATGCCCCAGTACAGTACACTGTAAAAAACGTATAACCGAGGTCCTTACTCCTTAGGGTCATTAAAAATTCCAGGACATTGTGTCCTGAACAAACTTCTCCCCAGCCTTTACCAGTCATTGCCTTCTTAATAATCCCCAACTTTAAATAGGCTACATCACTCTATTCTCCTCCCCACTGCTAGCTGGTGTGTGGTGAGCGTTCTGGCGCACTATGGCTGCCATCGCATCATCCAGGTGGATGCTGCACATTGGTAAAGGTGGAGGGGAGTCCCCATTACCTGAGCGGAGCGTCCAGAAAAACGCTTTATAAGTAGAAGTTTTTATTATTAAATTTGCTGAAATTTTACACCTGTTGATTTTTCTTACCTTCTTTCTCTCATATTGCAACATAATTTCCTGCCCTGTCACCCCTAGTTGTTTAGCTCTGTAAGCATTTGGCCCCATTGCAGTGTTTTAAATATGGTGATTTATTTATGTCAGTAAGTGTAAATTACTTGATCACATCTTAATATTTCACATACATCCAAGTGCAGGAGGCTCTCTGGCCAGCAGAGGTCTCCATAAGTACACAGTCTTTCAAAAATGGACAAGTAAAGCTTTATTCCATGCTGTAAAGAGAAGAAAAAAAACCCACAATGTTTCGGCTGTGGAGCCTTCTTCGGGTGTCAAAATCTTTGACCCATCTTGGACCCTTCTTTCAGAAATCTCACTTTAGCCTCTGAATCTTTGTCTATTGAGATCAAACAAAACAAAACTAGCTATCACCCCCTGATTTTGAAAAAAAAAAAACCATAAAAAATCAATCTATTCATTTTAAGAAAGGATATAGTATACATGGTGGAGGTACTCATTACTTGTTTGTTGATATGTACTTTAGGTTTGTCAACCTTTACGTCTCTCAATATGTAACATGGGACTAAGTTGTCAGACAGACTGTTACCCAGTGGACACTTTTCCATACTGAACACATGTATTTAAATAGTCTGTAAAGCCGGTATGTCATTTATACAGTTGCTCTAGGCACCTTATGTTGTCAGTTTTAAAATGTTTTTATGTTTTAGAGATTATTTGAATAAACAAAGAAAATGAGGTGAGCACACTATATCAAAGTAAAGTATGCTGTACTTTCAATGTTGCAGATGAATGGGAAAATATTTTAAAAACATCACTGAATGACTGTGTCTTTTTGAGTGAGTCACAAGCTCACTTTGCCCGTGAAATTTAGGAAGAACTTTCTGTTACGCTTATAATCTGAGGATGCACTTTGGTTCTGTGACAGTTGAAAATCCATCCAACTCTTCTGTGGCGGTACCTCTTGGACAAAAGGACATAGAGCACAGGATTGACACAAGGATGGAGATACTGCAGCACTGTACACACAAAGTAGAACATTTCCCAGGACTGACCGTGGCGGTAGAGCCCCAGGTAGACACACAGTTCCAGCACATAACCTGGAAGCCAACACACGGAAAAGGTAGCAGCAGCAAGAAAGACCATGATGGAGGCTCGCCGGGTGTTTCTGGCGCTGGCCATGGACATCATGGGGCTCTTGTGAAGAAAGAGGGCCAGCCGGATGTAGTTGAAGGCAATCACCAGCATGGGAATGAAGTAGTAAAGGACAAACTGTCCCAAGACCACCTGGTAGTGGTGCTCATGAATTGTGGGCAGACAGAAGGTGAAGTTTTTTACGGTCCCGGTTTCCTTTGTGGCAAAGATTCGCAGAGGGAAACTGATGAAAAAGCTGAGGGCCCAGACCATGATGAACATGAAGATGACCAGGTCCATCTCCGGGGGCCGGTGAGGATTGGTGATGATCATGGCTCTTGTTATAGAGACGGCACAGAGGGAGTAGGTGCTGGCCGCAAGGGAGAAGGCCAGGGAAAACTGGTAGATCTTGCAGAAGGTATCACTCAAGGGCCAGTCGTGACGCACTGCAGAGTGGAGGGTGAAGGGGATGAGGAGAAGGGTCAGAAAATCAGCCAGAGCCATGCTCAGCAGCAGGAGGTCCAGGCGGTTCTTGCGTAAGGTGTTGTACTTGGCAAAGAGTGAGAACACTAGCAGGTTTGCACAGAAGCCAATCCCCAAGATCACACCACATGTGCAGGCAAATATCAGTCCATAGTTGTTGGGAATAGTCTCCATGGTGATGAGAGCCAAGTTCTGCTGCCACGCAGCTATTTTCTAAAAGATGGTACTCAAAGACACGCACAGCAGTTATCAGTAGGTTCTCTAGCTTTCATATTTCTAGACATGGCTATCATCAACCCTTTCCTCCCAGTTTTATAGAACGCAAAATCCAATAACAAGCTAGGGCTACTTTCTTTCAAAGCTTCTGGTCATACTCACTTAATAATCCAACAGCATGAAGATGAAGGCATTTGACACCTTTCAAAAAACGCTTTCCTCAAACAAAATAATTCCTTCTTCTGAAATCTCAGATAACCGGACGTTGGAGTCCCTTTATTATGGATTTTTTTCTAATTTTCCCCCATATAATTGACAGTTAATCTTTTGGGAGCAGAGAGCAGAATTAAAAAATAGCAGTCAGTAAAAAAATGTTCTTGTCAGTTGTAGACAATATCCTCACCCAATTCCAGATTTCTACAAAATATCACTCAAGGGCAAATGCAGAGAACCCTTTGTGAGCTGAGAGCCATGGTCTCTGAGTATGAGGTGATCTGTGTTGTGCAGCAGCTGGTGTGAGTTGGCCCTGAAATAGCACCCAGGTGTGTGAGCAAGAAAAGCAAACAATACTGTATATCAATCCAGTTTATTTCCAGGTGACCAAATTTAAAAAGCCAGTATGCCTCATCCTTCTGGAGAGACAAACTGATTTCAAGGGGAAAAAAAATAAAAAGTAGTTTTACACAGAAAAACATTCCACGTAAATCAGGACAATAAACATGTAATTGATGTTCTTGCTTTTAATACATTCATGCCCTTTTAATGTAAACGGGATTTTTTTTTCCAGAGTCGAAAGCATTATCTTTCGTTTCAGTTGAATTGAGTCACGTCATCACAACATCAGGATACCATTGACCAGTATGTGAAACAAATGTTTCACTTCAGATCACATCCCTCTCTGTTTCAGCGATGCAAGTGGCGCAGGTGGGGAGATGTAGCATAATACATGTACATCAAAAAGAGTACTCAGACACAAGGAATAGAGAATAGAATTCCTCTAACCTAGAGGAATCAAAGGACTCATGATGCTGACTCCCAATCCAGACTCTAAACATAACTCAACACTGTATAATGGAAATTATATACAATATGTGCAAAGGAACAAGTGTTCTTTATGAGACTTCAATTTTCCTCACAAACACTGAGAAAACCCAATGGGAATGTCAGCAGCAATAAGTGAATAAGTTTGTCAGGGCATCTACTGAATGTCTGACATTGAACAGGCATGTCTGCATTGACCTACTCTTTTCAAACAATACAGGTTGAGGCAAACAGAAGTGAGAGAATCATTAGATAAATGCAATCTTGATTTGGTGTTCCTTGAAACCATGCAGTCCAGTCTAAACATTCCCAACTTCAGGGAAGTAGAATTTGATTGAAGGAAATAGTTGTGATGAGGATTCTAGTGGGATGGGGTGGATATACAGTAGAATAAGCAGGCAGTATAAGGCAACAGTTTAAAGAGACTCTGGATGAACCACGGAACATATTTGTTCCAAAGGCTAGCAGCCCACATTAGTTTATAAATCAACAAAGAAAAATATAAGGAAAACAGATAGGAGATAAAGATAGGAAAACACAGAAACTTACATTTTGATGGAGTCTAAAATTAATAATGGAACGGTTCTTTCAGGATTACAACCAAGAAAAGCAAAAGAGTAGTGAAGAATAATAAAGGGTAAGTTATAAACTATATTTCACTCAGGTTTTTACCAAAGAAGAAATCAATAACATGGAGAGCTGCAGATGATAACATCAATTTATAAAAGAGGGAATGAACTGAACCAAGAAAGTACTCTAATCAGTTTTAAAAATCCTGTAGCAGGTAAAGTTTTGGAAATTGTAGATGGAGATAAAATGAAAAGAAATCCCATATACCCAGAAAGGAATGGCATTTTAGGAGAGAGTCAAGATGGATTTGGAAAGGGAAGATCTTGTTTACTTTACTTGCAAGAATTCTATGAAAGTACCGCAGATAAAACTAAACCATCCAACACGTTATAATTAAACTTCTAGAAAGCATTTTAAAAGGTGCTGCATTAAAGGTTCATTCACAAATTAAAAGTCATAGGAATAGAAGTTTAATGTGCATGGACAATGAACTGGTAAACAGATGTAAACAGGAACCTGTTTAGGTCTTTTCTGATCTATGTCAATTATTGATCAGAGTTCTGATATATAATGATCTTTCTAGAATTTCTAGACATGCTTTACTGAACCCATTCTGAGTTGGGTCACAGACATCATGCCTTTATTGCCTCACAAGGGCAACCAAAAATGCTCTGAAAGCTACTTAAAATGCATGTGTTCCAATACTAGAAATCAGTGCAGTGTTTTGCTGTTTGATTGAAACACATTCTTGTTGGTATCGATTTGGTTATTGTGTCTGTCAGGGTGTCTGACTGTTAATTGAAAGAACCTGTTGAATGAGACACAGCTGCTCTGGATGAGTAATTATTCATCAGATGGAGTGGAATTCCATGTGAGGGAAATGAGCTGGTAGAATAGACTCAGTGTGGAATCATTCACTCCCCTGGGCTAATTAAGAGGCTTATAAGAACAGCTAGGAGTAGAATAATTTCAGACTGTATCTAGACTCCAAGCTGTTTGGTGAGAGGGGTGTGGAGAATTAGCCATGTAGCAGCAGATGAAGGGAGTTGTCTTGCAGGCTTGTGAGACTTAAGTCTGTACAGAGGGTTAGCACAGGTGATGGACAGACAGCTATTAGGTAGATTGTTTGTCAGGCTCAATGAGAATGAAGTGGGCATCATTTGTCAATGTAGCCACACACTTTACTTTCCTGTATGAGAGAAAGAGGAGTCTAGATGGCACTGGTGGACTCCTGAATATTGAGTGCCTTAATCAGCAGATGGATAGATGTGTGATGAGAGAAAATAACAAGCTGGCTCCTACTCTGATGGGGAGGCAAGTTTTAAAGAGCAGTGTCGCTGACCGAGCAGGATCAGCCAGGTGAGTTAGTGATAAACTAGTGATTGCTAATGAAAATCTGTGTGGTGAAGTTGTTATAGTCTTCCTTAATGTGAAGATGGAGAATTGGGTGTTTTGGGTTAGAGGAGTTCACCACACCTGTGCCTTTGAGTTAAACTGATATTGGTGGATGTTACAAGTGGGCAACCTGGTGTTAAGAGATGAATTCTCCAGCGCCTGAGTGTCTATGAGGCAGACTATTGATTGAGTATAAGAAGCTGGGTGTCATGATGCAAATATGAATGCTGTAGTGTCTGTTGATTTGAAAACTGAGGAGCTGAAGAGAAGACTTAGTAACCTGTGTAAAGAGCAACTGAATAGGAAGAGGACTATGCAGTCTTCCCTTAGAAGGACCCAGAGTGTATACCCTGGGCTCTGGAGGGGGTTTGAAGGATGAGGACAGACCACTTAAAATCTGAAAAACTCAAACGTGACCTCATGGCAGTGTTGGTTATATTTGGTGGAGGGTTTGATATGGAATTTAGAATCGACGTGAGTTTGAAAGCAGCGTGTTTAGAATTGGCTGTGATAAAACAGCAGCTGGAATGTTCTGCAATTGATTCCATCCTATGTCAATGAAATGGTATGAAACTGTTTCCTTTAACAAACAGATGTTCACAAATGATGCTGCTTTGATTTTATCTGAACGTCTAAATTATATGTACCTTTCTGCTAAATTAGCTTTTATTAGCCTTTTGTAAAGTAAATGTTCCTAGCTCTGTGCTGAGACAGGCCCAATTTCCTGCTTTCAACGCAGGAACAGGAAGTGAGCATGATGTAGGCTTTCCCACATCTTGTGTATACTAATTTTTTTTGGTGGATGCGTTATTCCATTGTGGTTTATTGCCTTCTTTATCTAGAAATTGACTTTAAATCAATTAATGTGTTGATGACTTCTTGTATTGCAGAAACTCCCCAGCAACATAGACAAATGGGTTTTAGCTTCAAGATGACGTTTGTGCTCTATGGGAGAAAAGGTCTAAAAGAAAACTGCTGTATACAGCAGGCTTTTCACAGAAGTAGTGTTAAGTTAATGATAAATGACTGTGCTCAGTTTCTCAGGTAGTACTACAGTGTACAGGAAAAATGCAGTGCAAAGCTCTTCTCAGGAATTTCAGGCTTTGTGCAACAAGTATAAGACACTCCAAAAGGGGGAAAGACTTTTTTTTCCCCTCATGTGTAAGGAGAGAGCACATCTCCTATATTTGGTAAATTGATATAATTCATCATTTATCATCCGACTTATCGATTTACAAACCTTTAAGATCTAAACCAGAGGGAAAGTCTGAAGGTTCATAGAACTGAATACTTAACTGGTTCAAGCTAAAGGGAATCAACATTTACATATCAATTACTTCGTTACTGAGCACTTTACCTACTGTAGCAAATGTCCTTATTTGCCTTATAGCCATTTATACCAGCTAAACTGACTTTTAACTGTTTCTCCCTCTCTGCTTTGTACTAGAAAGATTTAAATAATCGAAAGGTTCATAAGAATGTGAGAGGAAGGCTACAAGTAGAAATATGCTATTTGGCCCATTAGTTTGTTTGGTTGCTGGTAGTCAAGTGGTCCGAGACTCTAATCCACCTTCGTTTTGAATCAAGCCAGGGTGTCACCTTGTTCAGGTCTACACAACAGTTGTGTAAAAAAAAAAAAGCCTCCTTTTCTTTTTTTGAGAACCCTTCTCTACGTTCTTAACTCTTAATTTTTTGTTAGTATTACTATTAATTCTGACGTCCAGTGAGTTGACTTTGTCTACATCTTTGAGGATTTTGAATGCTTGAATCAGGGTTCCTTCTTCCTCCTCTGTTCGAAACTAAAATCAGTATTTGTAGTCTAATCGGCGTATTCTCTGCCCCAAATCTGGCAATTCTTTTGAATGAGGTTCCGGAGATGCAGCACATTCACTATAACACAGTGACCAAAAATGTACACAATATTTTAAAATTGGCCTCACTAAAGTATTGCACAATTTTCACAAAGTCCTATGTCCTTTTCAAAGATTCTTAAAGCTTTGCTTCTGCTTAAAGCTGATTGCTTTCCATCGTGCATCTAGTTTTTTGTTTTTCTGCTTGTAATACTCTGCACTTGTCTAAATATCCACCATATCTCGGTTTTGAATTTTTTCTAAACCTTATTGCAGTTTCAGCAGAGTTTAATATTCAGATATGACTTTTCTGGGGAAAAAAAACTGAATATTTTATTTTCAGATGTGACTAGTTTAACTATTCCAGAATCTAGAGATCATTGATCTAAATCAGAAAGAACAGTGGCCCTTGTGGAGATCCCTGCAGTACTCCAACTATAGCATTTACCCCTTACCTGCACATTCTGATTTTTAGCCATTAACCAGTTCTTAATCCAAAGACCATTACCTTGAATCCCATTATAGCAAGAATTAGTGAACACATTTTTATTAGGAACTAGAAAGCCTTCTGAAATAAAATAAAATGTACAATTTTTTTGGGGTGCATTGGTATTCTTCATTCAGTTTTGTCACACTTTTAATGGATGTATTGCATTGGTATTTTTCCAGCCAATAAACGTTTCTTTAGTCTTGAGGGACTGTGGGAAGAGCTCTGTTAATGGTCCATTAATAACCTTTCTTGTTTACATTCGTACAACTGGTAGAATCCTGTCATGACTAGGGAGGATTTATCTTAAGTCTTTCCAATACCAGTAACAGTTCTGGAATACAGCTCTGCCTCCAGCTGTGTTAACATCTCATTTTGGCTGAGGCATGGAGTAGATTTCTTCTTTGGTACACACTTGGGTGAAATATTCTTTAATTAGCTGTTGTTCTTATGTTGTATAAGGGATTCCTGTTACTATCTCTAGCTCCCTCTATGAACTTAATCCATTACTATTTGCTTTTAGGGGGGGGATTATTTTAGCTTCCATTGTGATACTGTTTTCCATTTTCTCTTGAAGGATTACTTTTGAATTCTAAAAAGCCTTTGCCATGATCTTGCCTGGCAATCCTAGCCAGCAATCTTGTCCTACAGCTATGAGCCCCATGAGTGCTTAGAGGGGAGAATGAGGGTGTCTAAACAGACCTCTCCAACTTGTTCAAGTTAAGCTGGCACAGGTAACATTCCCATAGAAGAGATTCAGTGCCCAATGGAGGAGGTGTGGGTTCCCCGGGCTCCTCACTGCATACCTGCCTGGGTTTGGGAGGCTGCAGGGATTGCTATGTGGCTGAGAGCCAAGGCAGGCCTGGTCCACTAATCCCATCATACCCAGCACTGTTGGCTGAGAACCCCCACTTGAGAAATCCTGACAGGACCTGTGCCCAACCCTGCAATCGCAGAGCTCATGTTTGCTCCTTCAGCCTCTTGGGAGCCCCCAGTTTTTAGGTGTTCATCTCTCTGATTGGTGGGGAAACTTTATACTTCTACAACATGGGTGCTATGGTCCCATTGACGAATCCGTGACTCATCTGTCACAGTCAAATAAAAGTGAAAGTCATCTGGAACCTTCAAGGGTGATCTGGACCTGATTTCTTCCTCATTGATCGCAAGCTTGAGCATGGGGATTTTAGGGCAGCCATCGTGGATAGATCTTGGACTTTCTAAATGTTTGAGTGATTGCTGGAAATGTTTCCATTGGGAATAGCAGTCTGAGCTGCTCTCTCGCTTCTCTCCATCCAACAGTTAGCAGTTGACTGAGGAGGTCATGTAATGGCATCACTAGCGCTCTTGAAGTTCAGATGATCAAAGGAATAATAACATGCTTGTACTTAGCTGTCCAATTTTGCTACTGCTGTTCCTTCACCACGGTATACACACCCACCTGTCACTATTGGGTTTTGGTGCGATTTGCTCCTTGCTTGACCAGAAATGTCAGGCTAACCAACAGGTTATGGGTGTAGGCTGAGGTTCATGTTTTATTCAAGTAGCCTTGCCCTAGGTTTTCTGATCCAAGAGAAACCCTGAACAGAATCAGGGAGTACATAACCTTCACCCTCATAAGAACATGCTTTATATAGTATACTGTGTAAGTTCAAAAAAGACACTGGAAAATAAAAAGGAAAATAAACATTTGCTTATACAAATTGTTTTTTTTTCCCCCCATGGTCATAGAAAATACACATTGTTTTCCCAGGCCTGCATGCAGCAAAAATATATCATGAGAAGGGTGACCCTCTTTTTCTGACAACACTTTGAGGAAAAAAAAAAGCAATGAACTCATTACTGTACTGTTAAATATTTAATCATTTCAAAACGCTGTATTCTTTCAGTGCAAGTCCTAAGTGACTTTGAGTCAATCGCATAATGTTGTTAAATAATAAAGTACGTTCCCTGGTTTGCAAAGGTGCACAGATTAGTCCGGATACATGTTGGACATAAGGATAAAAATAAGAGAACAGAAAGTCAATGTGTAAATAAGAGAAGGCTGAGTTCTGAAGTACAAAGTGATTGTTCCAACCAAGGCAAGAAGCACAGGAATGAACCTTCAAAGCAAATGATTGATCAACTATATTTAACATCTATATTCGAGAACAGGCATTAGATGAAGCCATGTTAACAGCATGCTAACACAATGTTCCAAATCTCTCAGTGAATAAAACGAGAACATATTTTTTTCTTCATCAAAACCAACCACAAAAAGAGAACACTTTATTAGGTCAATTAACAAAATTACTTGATATATATATCTAAAGTGCATTATGTTACAAAAATATAGAAAGTCAGCAGCACCATTATACATTTACAAAATAAATACACCATTCAAACAAAATAAATTATGGCAAATCTGACAATTATAATCAGCTTAGTCCTACCAAAAAAAAAGGAAATATTCACAATGAACAAAATCTGCAGCTCCATGGAGCACTGAATAACTTTTTTAATTATCATCACTAATCTGGTGCGTTTCAACTATTTACAAAAAATAAATATTTTTTCTCTATTTCCGAACAATCACTATAACAGAATACTGCAACATGAGTCTTTAGGTGCCCCATTATAAATCCGTGGGGTACCTGCAAAACAAAGAGAAAAAAAATGTTTTATTTTTGGAGTACATTTCACAACAGCATAAGCAGTATATTTCCCCCTTTTAAAACATTAATTGACAAGAAGGGATCAAACCACAGAGTCTGGAAAAGTCACCTTCTTAACGCACCTTTTTGATAATGTACTTAAATCCTGCAAGGCCACTGAGAGATAAGAGAGTCCTGAGCGATTTATCCCACCCTACCCTTTGCAATCCAGTCTACTGCGCAACACTAACAGGCTGAAGAAGCTGAGCCGTTTTAGTCTTGAACAGAGAAGATTTCGAGAGGACCTGATACAAGCATTTAAAACTGTCGAAGGCACTGAGAAAGTCCACCCAGCATATTTCTTCAGAATGAACACTGAAAGGGGAACCAGAGGGCACAAGTGTGAACTACGTGGAAGCACATTTAAAACTGAAAACAGGAGGCACTTCTTTACCCAAAGAGTTGTGGGAGTGTGGAACAAGCTACCCAGCCATGTTTTGAAGCCAATACTCCGGTTTCTTTCAAGAAATGCTTGCAGGAGATCATTGGATCAATTAGCTACTAACTACCATATGGGCTAGATGGGTCAGATGGCAGCTTGTGAAATCCTGACCACAGTCAGCTTAGTCACCCTGCACAGTCGAACCCCTGAGCCTGAGTAAGAACAAAAGCCTTAATTAGCAGAGCCCCTCAGGAAGCATTTTCTTTCATGTAGTGTGGACAATTCTGCCCCACACGGATTAATTCAGGAAGTCTAGCAGGTGGAGTATAAGATTCTTTGCATTACACTTATTACTGCACATGAAATTAACCTCATTTAATGAAGGGAAGACAGTCATAAAAGGTAGGAAATGTTGTTTCAGTTTAAATTCTCTTACAAAAAGATTTGCATAATTAGATTAAACCTCTTTGGTCCTTGTTTTGTTTTTTTAACTTTTGCCTGAAAGTGGATCTAACAAAATATAAAACATAATTATCAATATGAGAACCCAAAATGATACACACAGGATAAATCATTCTAAAACTCAAAAAGGCAGAATACAAACAGCATCATTGTTATGAGACAATACATAATATTGTGAGACCATACATAATAACATGGGTCTACAAAAGAGAGATTTAAAGGCACTTGTAGATAAAGGTTACGTTCATTTCACTTGTTAATGTTGTTATATATGTACATAAGCACATAAACATAAATCTATAAAACTATTTTTATTCTAACATCGTTTCTCCTACACATAATTTGATGCAGTTCACTCTTAGCATGTTTAACTATACAAGCAGAAGGAATCTAAATAATTACAGTCAATAAAAAGGAAACTGTGGTTTTATAGACCTGTAATTTACCAATGAAGTCATCAAGCATTTAATCAATTAAAATCTGTCAAATATAATTTGAACACTGCTCATAGATGACAGTTTAATTCTGAATTATGTAGATTATTTTTTGTACAGCTTTGTTTTTTAGCTACTATGTTCTACCCAGTTAGAATCTACCTTTGTGTTTAAATAAGGATCAAATGTGAGCCAAAGTTAAAAATCTGTTTTAAATTATGAATCTGGGCAACCACTGCCAAGTAGCTAGATTCCCTTGTGCTGTAAAGAAGCCTTTTTGGCCATAGGACAGAGTGGCCCATCTCCCTTCTGAACATGAGGGTTCAATGCACATGTTCACAATTAAGCAAAGGGGGCACCTTCCACTACATAAACATTGCCTTACTTAAAATGTCAAAGGCCTGACTCAATAAGACAGTACAGAACAGCAACTCAGTAAAAAATGTTAAATGGAATTCAGGAAACAGTTCACTTTTAAAGCTCAAACACTTCAAAACGTAGATGTGTGGTTTCTTAATTGCACAGGAACTCAATTACCACATTGTCCTACAATTCCTACAACATTGTTCATAGGATGTTCTGGGAGAAACATTGGGCTGCAATATACATATTTCTGATAAGACTATAGTGGTTCTGGAAAATCTGTGTTCTGTAAACAATAAAATACAAAAGAGTTGTCACTAGACAGGTCAGATGGTTTGAATACAGTGCTGGAGTGTACAGGTATACTGAGGTACAAGCAGAATTATTACTGCTCTGAATTGAGCAAATCTCAGAAGCTATGCAAGACAGGGCCTGCCTGTGAAGGCAAGTCTTCAAGGAAGACCAGGTCACTGCTGCATGTGCTAGTGGCGGGCCAGCAGGTGGTACTATGACCAAGGACAAAGTGCTGTCCTTTGGATGGGACATTAATCTGAGGGCTTTATTACTTTGTCTCTTAACATCAATTCGTAATTTTTAAAATAGATTATGGCTGAATTCTATGCTGGTCCTGCACAATCTGGCCTAGACACAGGGAGAACATCAGGTGGGTAGCTGCGTCAGCATGCGTAGGCTGCAAAGGAACAAGTAATAGGTTTATTCCATGCTGAAAAAAAGAAGAAAGAGAACACAACGTTTCGGCCGTGGAGCCTTCTTCAGGTGTGGAGGGAGAACATGCAGACTGCTCGCAGAAAGTACACAATCACGCCATTGCGTCTTCCCCATATTCAATACACTTTACATAACAACTGATAGCTGACAGACACACAGTAAGCCAAAGTATGTCTTACGGAGAAATAATGAAATACATCAGTTCTTTGATAAAAATATTTTTTCTTTTGGGATTTTTCTCCATGATTATGATGTTCATCAGGATTAAGGCGTACGTTTTCAAAGGTGACAGAAACATAGTTTCTTTTTTTGGTCTCAAAGTATTGTATTTAAATACCCGTCAATCAGTGGGAACCCTCTTCCAGAACTTTTTCATAAATTAGAGAACTCAAACACCATAACTGCAATGTAATTTCTGAAAGTGGGATGCTTGACTTTTGCTAGTAGCCATGTGTTCAACAGCTCCAGTTAACAGCTGAATAAAACTATAATGCAATACCAACTGTTTAATAATGGATCATTATTGCTTGCATTTGTACACTGCTTTCCGTCTCAAATTATCCCAAAATGTTTAACATGCAGGTCGGACCACTGAAGAATAGCAGCTGGGTGACTTACAGCAGCCATCATGTGCAATAAGCCCTACTATACAAGATTAAGTGGAAAAGTTATCAAATGATCAGTGATCAAATGAATGAGGGAGACGTTTAGGTAGACAAAAGTGAATTTAGCCAGAGCACTGGGGTTAACACTCCTAGTCCTGCAGAACAGTGCCGTGATATTTTTGACCAAGTAGTCAGGACCTTGGATTGATGTCCCATCCACAGGACAGAACCTCCTACAATGCAGCACCCACTATCACCATTCTGGCATTCTGGGACACAGGTTTGGAAATTCTAGTCCAGAGGCAATAGTGCCACCTACTGCTCCAATAACACCAACCTGATTTACCTTAGAGGTTTTTCACAATAGACTTAGAAACTTTGAATGAATGCATTCACTGCAATGTACTGATCTGTGGTCAGTGATACCACTGAGTACTAAAGAGCAATTGCACAGCCTTGATTTGTGTTGCAAACAAAAAAATACTTATGAAACCAAGACACATTACTATGTTTATTCTATTCAATTATGACAATTATTCCCCTGTTGATTTCCAATATTTATTAATTGTTTAATTCTAATGTTAGTCCAAGAGGATGCCTGCTCACAGTGATGCTAGCAGCAGATGACCCCAGCTGACCAATCCACATTACTCTCTGGGGCAGTCTCCTGTTTGAACCTGTGACAGCCAATCAGAGAAATCAACCCGCGCTCAGAGCGGTGCCTTTATTGATAGAGCCCCTCCTGTGCCCTAACAACTCTGCTTCTGTTGAAATCGGTCCAAATCGAGTTAAAGAAGGCACAGCTGGGTCCTATAGTTCTGTTTACAACATGGGACCTTGTAATTGCACCTTTTGTTCCACTTACAGACCAAAACCTTCGTAGAGTGAGAAGCAGCCACCTTGGCTGATCAGAGACGTAGTCACTAGTGTAAACGCTAACGGCAGCACCAGGGGGGAAAGAGCATTCAATAGAAGAATTTACCTTAGTCCGAACGTGACTGGGTCCTAGTGCAGGAGCTGCAAGAGGCTGAAGTACGGGCTCCACTCCAGACCATATCCACTGCCCTGCTCCTGCACGCCGACGGAACGCGCCCTCCTTTTCTTCTTCTCACTGTCCCGCCGCTTCCCAGACCTCCCTTTCTTCTTCTTCTTGCTGGTGATTTTGAGGGGCTGGTCCTTGTAGGTCTGGGACTTGTTCGTCTCTTGCGGGAGGTTGGTGCCCTCTTCCTCCACCCGAAAGCCCATGGGGTAGTTCTTGGTGCTGCCTGCTGGCTTGGGGTTGGTGGTGCGGCTGGGCAGCTCCCTGATCTCGGCCGTGTGGACCTCATCCAGGAGTTCCTGCAGCCACATGCGTCTCTTGAAGTCTTGCAAAGTCTTCCCCTTGTCGTGCATCAGCTGCGCGTGCGTCACTGACCGCTTGCTGCCAAGGGAACAGGGAGAGAAGGAAAGGAAAAGCTTGGACTAGGAAAAACATCCATGTATTGCAACTGTTAGCACTACATTAGGCCTCATTTTAGAATATTGTAGGAATTACTGTTCTGGGAACTGAACCTTTTTTGGTTTTGAACAAAAAAGATTACAAGAGGACTGAATACAAGTATTTAAAGTCCCCAAAGGCACATATAAGGGCAACTCAGAGGATTTCAGAATGAAGAGTGAAGCAGAAGCCAGAGGACACATGTGGAAAATTTGAGGAAGTACATTTAAAACAGAGGCACTTCTTTACCCAGAGGGTTGTGGGAGTGTGGGACAAGCTACCCAGCTGTGTGGTTGAAGATAATAATGTGGTTTACTTCAGGAAACGGCATATTTAAATCCTTATATTGATAAGATACCAACTACTATGAGGGCCAAATGAGTGAAATAACCTCCTCCTCAGTTCCTATGTTCTTATACTTATTAAATTACATTTTAATTAAATTAAAACTGGGACATTTTTATAGAAACCTATAACTTTCTAAAGAGAATAGGGACATTTGTGCAATCATTTTTACATTATATATTATTTTCTATTTAGCGTCGTAAATGTGTAAGCCCCATCTAAGTGATTATATGAATATGGTATTCGTAACAGTATTTCATTCTCTTAGGATCTATCCAGTGATGAGTCACATGAACAAAACTTTGAATCGCTTCACTTAATAATATGATTTAGAAAAGTATCGAACTTGTTGGCTTCAACTTTATCCCATTAGTAACGAGAACGCAAACAATTTGTGTCATCATTATTGTTAATAGCTTCAGTATTTGAATTGTCCGTGGCAATAAACTACTTTGGAGATTAGTCCTCTAATATGCTCTATATCCACAGCATCACCATCGAAATACTAAGCACATACTGCTCTCCCACATGTCGCTTCTCAAATACAGGGATTATGTTTTTTTCATCAAACATTTCGGTTTGATGAAAACAGAAGAGATCCTCGCCAGTCGCCATTTTTTTATATTATTAAAGAATAAATAACATATCGCCGCTGACTTTAAAACCTCTGTCATCGCCTAATACAGAGCAGACTGCATAATATAATGCTTTGAATTTTGGAGCAGGCTTATGCCGCCTGACAGAAGCATTAACTGTTCCTATAAGGACAGGCCATGGAAATTTTGATGTGTATGTTTTAGTTTGTTATGCATGCTAGTGTTTCAAAGTGCCGAGCATTGCAATATTCTCGCAACCACGGCTAAGGTTAATTAAAAGAAGCACTGGACACATTCTTTTACAAACTTTCAGCAAAGCCTAATATTTTGTTTACCCTTTTTTTATTCGCCTTGATTTGTTAGTTTACTGGTAAGTCTGACCGTCAAGTGTGACCGCAATGTGGTATTGATACAAGTTGGTTGGACGCCGTTTCCCTTCAGTCACTGTGCGAACCTCTACTCTTGGCTTCCTTGCTCCCAGATAATTATTATACCTCCTCCTGCGTTTTGCCTCCTTACGAAACTGACAGATAACTGCCCGAATTCACTGAGTTACCTTGATTCAATCTGTTTTTACTTAAGTAATCAAAGCTTCTAAAAACCAGGTAGAACTCCATGGACTATTGGATGTTGTATTTACCTTAAGTCCACAAAGTTCCAGATCCTCACACCTAACTAAAACAAATCAGAAACGGCTTTTGTATTTAACCAAAAAGGCTTACAAAAGTCTTTAGATTCCTTCTCTATGTTTATATGTGAATGTACAGGAAATATTTTGATGTATTATCCCTATGAAGGAGTCAAGTCCAGTAAAAAATAACTTGATAAGTAAATATGTACTAATTTAGATTTAAACACTGGCAATGTTAAATAAAAACGTACACTTTACCAATGCAACCAACAATATATTAGTTTATCCTGCTTTTTAAAATGGTGAAATGCTGAACATGCATATAAGAAGCCACAATTGTCTCAACCAGTAGATGGCACTATTAAGAAAGAAATGTACATTTAATTGTGTGGGTTATGCATGCTATTTTTCTGAACAAGTTTTGAAAACGTTTGGAATATAGATTGAACCCAAGACAGCACAGAAAGAGAAAAGCAAAATGAAGTCATTAATGAGAATTGCAGTCCAAAAATAAGGAAACATATGTAATGTAATATGGGAAATACTATAGATATGCACGTGCTACGTGACAACGCGACATAATCTAAATGTTACGCACACAAGAGTGTAGGTTGACTGCTGTGCAATCACTCATTTTATACAAAATTTATTATTGTTAAATTGTAATAGTACCTTTGCCTGTGGAAATGTTTGTCGTATTTAAGGCTTTTGTGATACCTATATGGATTAAGGTTTGGCTGAAAATAAAACTTGACTCTCTTCACTTAATCATTACCCCATGAGAACAATGTCATGGGTAACCATAGGCACAGGAGAGACTTTCAGAAATGATGAGACTATTTCTTATTTGAAGCATACTGTGGGGTTCTGTTGAATGAACAGCATGAAAGATTCACTGGGGCTCCAGTGACAGACAGCACATCGTCTGATGTGAAAGACGATGCCTAGTTCAACTCCTGGTTCCACCAAGATCACCAACGTGCTCAATTTGGCAAGGGACCTACAGCAGATGCAATAAAGCATCTGTTTTTCCTCTGATATGAAAAGGTGATTCCTTTTACAGGCACCCAGAGAGACTAGATAGACTGACAGGGTTAAGTTCTGTTTTCCAGGTTCTTAACAGCTCATTCACATCTGCTGTGCAGACTCATCAAGCACAAAGAGAATCTGTCCGGATATTACAAGTCCCTAACTTTTCAGCATACTTCCAGTGTCAAGGTGCAATGTGAAGTGGAGCATTCCATAATTGTCAAGAGAAGTGATTTCAAATTAGATTTAAAATAAATGACCAGCTTTCAAATTTAAGGGGTTCCTGAGCAGCTGAACGAGATACAAAGTCCAGTGCTAGATCTGAAGTCCAGAAAGTGCTGGATTTGTCATTATCTGACCGCAACTGGGAGCTCTCAAGTGGAGACATGCAAATGCCTAAGCACCACCAGGTGTTGGTGAGCTTCATCAGCCCAGGGTTTTCCTGACTTCTGAGGAGCACGTGAGCTTGTATTATTGATCAGAGCACAACCCTCAGATGTTGCTTCTCTGTCGGTGGTGAGGTAAGTTTAGAATGATAAGAGATGTCTGATGGCCTGACAAGTCAAATTAGGAAGGACACTTCTACAGCCTACAATGCTGAAGTGCACATAGTTTATTAAAGATTGTGGATTAGAAATTGAGGGCAATAAAATGAAAGGACAAATAAGGATTTTCATTAAGAAGAAAAGTTTTAATTGCATTCTCAAAATAGCACATATTTGTACTAATTTTCTTTTTGATTGTTACCAAAGATGGCATCTATCAAAATCCAACCAAAAGAAAGGTGACACTGTTCAAGAATTGCTTTCTGCAATATTTAGTTATGTTTGCATTTCATTCCAAGTAAAATAATAAAGACAGAATATTGCACTTTTTCCAGCACTGTTAAATAATAAATATAGGTTTTCCAGCCAAGGATCGTAAGCTGACAGTTTTTCATTCTGAGGAAAATAAATTTTGCCTCTTAAGAGGATGCTTTAGAAGAGATTCAGCAATTCCCTAACATTTATGATGAACATGAAAAGAAGTCTCTTCTGTTTAATGGTGGAAGTGCAGTGGTTTTATTACACAATAGTCTCACTACATAATGTCAGAATGTGAGTCTATCCTGCCTTCAGAAGTTTGTTCTTACCATTTACCTGAGATTTTTTTGTAGGCAAAAAAGAAAAAGGCGAAACAACTGAAATATTTTTGACCCACTGTATCTAACAAATGATAATATAATTTTCAACCTTTAGAAAAAAAGAACTAGAAGAAACGTTTTCTCTCTTTGTTATTGGTAGGAGAAAGGTGGCTTACCATGTACCAAACATGAAACATTTATGTTTCTGTTACTCATTAATTAAGAATATTAAATCCAATGCTTTTTTTACTGGTGTGCCATCCCTAAACTGGAATGTTTCTAACATAGCAGAATGCCATATGAGGACAGCACAGTGAAAACTACCTATATGTAAAAAAGCATACATTAAATACTAGTGTAGAGCTGAGACGCTCTGTTGACATATTGTATGAGAGATGTCATAAGAGGCAAACCAAGCGAGAATCATTACTGCCAGGATTCACAAGTGGTACATGTCCTCTTTTTTCATTACCACCCAAAGAAAAGAAAATCAAACTGACTCAGTGCCAGTATTTATAGCCCTTAAAGGGGAACATTATACTATGTAAATTTTCGCAATGTCTATTTTCTTACCAGTTTCTATGTGCAGCTCATGATTATTAGTCACTTTCACTCTTTTCTTTTGCTTGGTCTCTTATTTCCCTGACATCTTAGAAAAGTACAAAAATTGAAAAAAAAAGTACAAAAATCCTTCATTGGCTGACCTCTGAGTAAAATAGCTCGTCCTGAAGGTACTTCAGTTAAAAATCTCTGTTGCGGGTACTTTTTTCGAAATAGAAATACAAATACCATGACTCTCGCTTTTGCTTTTGAGAATCATGGGGTGTCTTCAGGAGAAATCGGTCTACTCACCAAGAAAAAAAGAAAAACAAAAAAGCCCAAGAAAAAATAAATTATTAAACGTGTGAAACTTAAATGAAAACGTAAAAAATCAGTAGTAAAAGTTCTAAAACATATAGATGATTAGTGGTTCACCACGCAGGTGAAATATGGTTTTGGTTATGGTTATGCTGTATGGTTTAAAATGTGATGTAGAGTATCAGGGGACTGTGCGCTGGAGAGCTACTGTATTTCACCAGAAAGCTATATTTGCTACAGTCACTGTGCAGGAAAAACCACTCAATTATTTTTAACCTGGTAAGAGTCACAGCAAAAATGGCCACAGATTTTGAAACCACTGTGCCATGAGAAGAGCCTCTCTTCATTAACAGGCAATGACGCTCCAGGTTTAAATGCAGTGGGAGATACTCTGTCTTGCTTATTTACTGTGAAGCTGTGACTGTTTGAGGATAATTGGATAATAGGGCTGCATTTGACAGTTTCATTTGTATTAGACAACTTCAATACAAATCTATATGGTATTTACACGTGCTTATATATTTTGTCAATGAAACACGTGAAGTTTTGGCTTTGTGCATGAAATGAATCACTTTATTCAGCATAAGAAATGTACTTACATATGTGTACATTTCCCCGTTTTGCAAACATTAATGGTGAATTTTACTTATTTGAAAAGTGATATGACACCTTTAACCTTTTAATAAGCTTTCTTCAAACATTCCCTGCAGTGAAGGAACAAAAAAGAATGAGAAAAAAAAATCTTAAAACATCCTGGAATGGCAGAACTCCAACAGAAATCTCTATTTGGCCTACCTGAAGTTAATTGTTTCTCTGTACTTGGAAAAATGCTTTATACATTTAAGCTAACCACAATACATGTAATTTCAGCCAACTTCCAAGACCATTTATTTTAACTTCTTTTACAAACTTGGCAGAGAGTCAACCAAAACGTTTGTGTGACTTAAATGCTCCATGGCAGAATGCCAAAAGGATTGATTATTCTGTGTCTGCTTTATTTTGCTGTGTTGTTTTTGTAGTTGGTATCTCTAAACAAATCTTTTAAAGGCTTGTATTTATTGATACTGTGTTAAAATCGGAATTAGGGTGGTTTTTATTCCACTTGTTACACTACTGTTCTTAGTCATAATTTTAATTCTAATATAGTAAACATGTAAATGTAAATTAAAATATGAAATTGTCATATTTAAAAGCTTTCAGATCTGTTTAAAAAAATAATATTCTGTTGACACATTCACTTAGTGACACTTTGAATTAAAATTGTATGGGGGAAATGATGAAACAGTTGCAGAAATGTAGATTCTTCTAATTTTTATACCCAAAATGCATGAACTATTTGTTTTCTTTTTAAGATTGTTTAAATTAAGTATTATTTCCATTTATTTGAATTTACTGATTCTGATTCTATATACAGACATCATTGATTTTCTTTGTAGCTTCATTAAATATGTTATACCCTCTTTTCAAAGATGAAATAAAGCTTAAAATTAATTGACATGGATGTATTTTACTGGGAATTAATGTTAAGTGGAAATGTGATTTTGATTAAAGATTATTATTTTCAATTTCTTAATCAAGTTTTGCATACAGTATGGCATAGTAAAGCAATATTTGAAGCCGTACAGTATAAAAAAACTAAAATGAGTGACTCTTCACTACTTTTAATGACATAGTTTATCTTTTAATTAAGAATTATTTTTACAATATAAGAATTTTGTAGAATTTTCTGTCACAAAACCACCATCCCCTGATTGGAATATTATTCTTATGATGACAAGGTTTTCTAAACGACATCAGTTTTTTCTTCTTTTCAACAAGTCAGGCTATGAATATTTCCTATTTTTTACAGAACATTCTGACAATACATGTGGGTCTGAGAAACGCATAATGTTAGATACATTGTGTAATTTGTAATGTCTTTCCTACATGAAATTCTTTATGCATATGTGATATTTTGAAAATTGGGATCGGAAAATGTTTATCTTCAACCACATCAGCAGGAAAAGAAACAAAATGTATTTGAGTGCACAGAAATAAGAAAAATCGTATTTCTCTAATGGAGGCTGACCCCTTGAACTAATAATGTTCAGCATCTAAAAATAGAAAGAATGATTATAAATCTGTAAATGTCGAAGCCTAACAGGTGCATAAATCTTCATGTCTTGGTCAATGTGAATCAAAACGTTTCTGACCTATTCTTTACTTATTTAACTGGAGTTACACTTATCTTACATGCTGTAAGATGACAATTAACTTTGTAGTAACATCATAAAATGAAGTAAAACACTTATAACTGGCCTTAGATTTCTGAAAGGAAAAAAACGAAACTTGAATGATTTTAAATTTCCAAGCACACTTTTTAACCAGCTGCTTAATTTAAGGTCCAGCTTTGCTTGGTCCAAATACATCAGTATTATTTTCAATGTATTTGAGACCCTTCTATATACAAACATAGGAAATTGGCCAGAGCCAGCGCATACATGCACAACAAAGTGCAGTTCTGGTAACAGGGGCATAAATAAATAAGGCCATTTCTGTTTCTAGCAGACAGTCCAAAAACCCCAGCCTACCAACTGAGGACGGGCTGAGGTAATAACCTTAAACATCCTGACTGAAGTTCCAAACAAGCACGCACTGAAGGATAATATGTCAAACTTAAACAGAAAAAGAAATTCACCGTCTGCTTTTTCCAGAGTGCTGGAGTAAGTCTCGTAGTACTTTCTGAACATAAACATCCTGACAAATCTATAGAAACAACCCTGAAAGCTGTACAAAGCCTGTTAAAAAGATAAAGTAGATTGAGGATGAAGTGTACTACTGCTTTATGCTCAGTATGTATGATTCCCATTGACTGAATTGAACCTGAAAGTTCTGCACTAAAATTATGTACACCCAAAAAATTGGTACACAACACAAAATTAAAATTCATCTGGAAAGTTACCGTACTAATATCTATGAAAGTTGGAAGATCATGATGAAAAATTAGAATGAGAAACAGTTTAACAATAAATAAGTGCATCCTAAAACGTGCAATTTGTACTCTTACAAAACGCCAGTAAGGTTGCCATCACAAATGGAAAGTCGATTGTAACTCTGACTTACACTCTGTTGCTCAGAGCATCAAGAGGTCTCCCATAGTGTGGGACAGGAGAGCACAACAAAAAGACAGCAAAACTCCACTGCTGAAATAATCTCCTTGAACAAAGCATCCTGGGAAAAAGAAAGAGAGAGAGTTAGCTTTCTTTATTTAAAGTATTCTGAATGCATTCAGTGGTTCATTTTCAAAAGCTCCTTTCAAAATGTATCTGTTTTCTATAAATTAATCTGTTCATAAATTACTCTCTTTGGCTCCATTTAGACTTCCACTTTGATTAAGTAATAAAATATCAAAAAACCCTTGGTGGACTTTGTGAACACATGTATCCCATTTTATTTTATATACGGTAATTTATATGTGCATGCAATAAAAGAGCCCACCCTTGATTATGGTTCTGTTTTAATTACTCTTGCTCTTATACTATTCCTAAATAAAGACAAGCTGCTAATACTGAAGATTTTAATGCATGCATTGTGCTTCAGCAAACTTTATTTGCTCCAACTGAGGATGCACTGATTATTGGATCTGTTGCAATACAGAATGCTATTAAAACATAAAAAAACAAACTCACTCAAATAACCACAATTTAAACTGAATGTCAACTTGGAAGAAAATAAAAACTTACTTTCCCAAGGAACAGCTTTACAAAGCTGGTAGCACGTTCTGTCTTCAGCCTCCAAAAAGAAAGAAATCTTCAAGGAGTAGCCAGTCTGAAATAAAATAAAGCATGTTGAAGATCAATCCCCGCAGTAATTAAGTTCCTGTAAAAATAAATCAGAATTATATTATGGAGACTCAGGCATTACAAGAACCAATAAAGTCAAAAAAAATCCTCTCTTGAAATATATTGGGCTGTTCACTTACTTGTTATTTAAAATTAAAGAAGCAAAAAGAAATGAAGACAATATATATCGACAACGCTCCTCCTCTGAAGTGCGGTTCTTTGCACTAGTTGCTGTGCTGATTAGAGCTGAACAGTTTCTTGTAGTAGTACAGCCGCAGCAGGAGTGATGAGAAAGTTTGGAGCATGCTGCCTGTGCAGGTTTGTGCAGGGCTCTTATTGGAATGAGTTAGCCTGTGCCCTGGCTTTGTCTCCCCCTGTCTGGGAGTTCATTGGAAAGCATGCTGGTGGATCAGTGGCAAGGAGGTGGCGCCCAAGGAACACACAGACAAGAACAAAAGACCCTAAGTGACAGTGTGTGCCTCGGAGCAGCTGTTTTTGGAGACGTTAATGCATGTTATACAGGGAAAGGATCCCCTGTGCCTTTAACCCCCAAACTGTGCTGCAGACCCCCAGGAAACACTAAAGGAAATTCATAACATTCCTTCCTCTAAAGGGCCAAATCTTTGAAAAGTGAGAAACCCCTTTTCAATTTAAACATCTTGAAGACTGAAATATGGAATTCAGAGGCTCTGAATCATTACTGTATTTGAACCGAACAACAGAGAAGTGACTGCACTCACAGTTTAAGTCAAGTTTCGTCTATTTCTGTTATGATTTAGATGTTTTGCTTAATGCATTTAAACGTACAGGGTTTCACTTTTTCTTGATTCTGATTTGTTTCACTCTCGTTCTTTTTATTTTTGGGGGATCTCTGCTTATTAAAACTACAATTGACAGCTTCTGAATTTGTTATTTAAGATCTAGCTATAAAAAGCGTGCATATTACTTCCAATCACTTTGACAGAAATGAAAAGAAGAGTAGCATGCATTTAATTTCATTTTAGTGGTTTCTAAGTACTTTGGTGCTCTAAGTTTTAAGAGAAATAAATTAGGGTCTCTGCTTTGACTAAAACCTGACAAAAATATACTGTATATGACATAGACACTCCAATCAAATTTTAACAGGTGTGCAAAATTGAAAACATGAAGGTTCACTTCTCTACAAAGAATACTATCTTCATGATTAGCTGCCTCTGTCAAATGGCTTGTACAGGTAAAATTACCCTGTAGCTGCTGTAAATGTTTAAACAACAGAATAACAAGCATTATGTTCCATATGCTGGAAGGATTGTGATTATCTAGTTGTTGTACATGATTGTTTAATGATTATAGTCACACTGTTTCCACACAGATATTTTGTGGGATAAATTATCATCCCTACAAAGTCAGGGGACATAGACGTATTGTTGAGAAAACAGATTTCAGTAAAGCATATCTGTACATTTCTAACTCTGAATGCCTGAGGCTGGAATTGTGAGTTACAGGTATGTTAAAATTGACTTTAAAATGGAGATAATATAATGAACAGGTTGAATGGCATACAGTAATTTACCAATACAGTTTGTGACACCCATATAACGATATGCAGGAATATATTATTACTTTATATGTTATACATACTTTATATGTAGTGTTAAATTAAAATATTATTTATCTCTATATTTCTGTTGACTTAGAAAAAATTACAATATAAGAGACAATTATTCTTTTTCAGATAAATAACACGATCTTTGTTGTGTTAAAACATAAATATATTTAGCTACTGTACAAATTAAAAGTGTTATTACTTCTTTCAAACTTGATTAGAAATGCAATCTTTCCAAAAATGACAGTCAATCTGTATCATATGTTTAAGAATATTAATCATTTAATTTTAAGAAAGGTTGTTCAGCAGAGAAGTGTCATTATTCAATGTTGTTTTGTTACTTTTATTCAATATTAATTTGTTTGCAGTGCAAACTGATAACTCATAATTTTAGTACCTTGATAATTAATAACCCTGTAATGTTTTGTTTGTAGTATTAACCAGTCTCCCATCATCTAGTATCTCAAATTGAATGCAAAGTAGTAGCAATAGTTTCTGATCATCATGTTTATCATGTTCACTTCTTTAACTTTTTAAAACATTTAAGGAAAACTGCAACCTTGCAAACTTGCAAACTTGAAGATTTCTATGAAGTACGGTATATTCTTCCCTTTGCTGAGATTTAAAGTGTTTCTAAAAACTTCCTAACAAAACATTTTAACACTTCTTGCCTCAAAACTGACAAATTGAAGGAAAATGATAAATTTTACTCTTATTTTTACGGATAGCAAAGAGCAAACAAATTAAGATTTTGCCATTAAATAAGTGCTTTTGAAATTTAACAAGTTTTCCAGGAAACTTTATAAAAGACACAGTGGAAGCAGTTCCTTTAAAAGAACTGTTACCATAGCAGTTTCACTTTAAAAGACGATGTTCTTGGCTGACGCCTGTTTTATCCGTATCACTTCCTTGAAAAAGAATGTGGACTACAGCACTTGGCGTCGTATTCCTCCAATCTTGTACACAGGCCTTGGATAAAGAGCGTCTGATCAAATTGTCAGTTTTGAGTTTTACATTATTTCATTTTCATTTACATTTATTTCATTTTCTTTTTCTTTTGCATTTCACGAGCTGTAACTCAGTTATGAAGGAACGGAAAGCCCAGATGGAGCACCCTGATGAAATCTACTTATAGTGGATATATTACATGCACATTGCTGTACTGTACTGGAGGGAGGGGCTGCCCTGAGTGTCTCTGCTCATGTGTCTTCACAGGAGGGGCAGCCGGGCAGAGAGTTGAAGAGACTTGGGTGAGCTGACACGCATCCAGGTGAGAAGACAAGAGCACAAATACAACATGCAAAAGGGCCACTGATTCGTTTATAGCAAACAGTGTGCTTCTGTTTGGAGTTCTTGTAAAATAAAATGTTTTTGGTTAAGGTACTGTATCTTTTGAAATAAATTGAAATTGAATTAATAAAAAAAACGCTTAGGACAGGGGGTTTGTAATCCCACCTCCTGTTGCTTTGTACTCTCTGACACTGGAAAGTCACAGACAAACTGAGTGTAAACAATTGCGATCAGGCCCTGTTATACTAGAATATGGAAACATACAGTACTGCAGTACAATGAAATGATGAACATGATGAACATACTGCAGTACAATGAAAAAATACATAAGCAGTAGTGATTTCTTTCCAAGACATTTCTGGAGAACGTCAAATGACAGCTATGCTTAGTTAAGGGAGGATAGGAAAGAATCATGGGAGGTTCTTCATGCCTGCCATTGCAATGTTTCATGTGTCTGTCAATGCAGTTTTTGAAAGTAGCTCAGTGCCGGAGCAGTGACCCAAGGCCATTGCTGGCCTTTGCCTGCCACTGCTCTCTTTCAACACTGGTGTCACCTCCTCTTCTAGTTTGGCAGGACTAAGTCAGAAATGTCAGTCAATGGCTATATTCTAAGATGGGCATCCTGATTTCATACTGATTGACAACCATCACTCAGGTAGAGCAAACTGCAGTACGACATAAGAATGGCACATGAAGCTGCTTTTAGACCTGCTGTGGGAGCCAAGAGCAGGTGTGGGTGACTGCTCTGACACCGACAGTGTAACTTGTTTCCTCAAGCAGTGGTTCAAGAGCCCGGGAGTCTGATTAATGACAGGCAAGTTTAAAGAATGCCTTCAGTTAATTTTACCCACTGTCTTTAAATCATTTAGAGTCAGCTACGTGGGGTCAATACCAAGTGTTGACTGTCACTTCTATAGATGAATATATTGGAAGAGATGCTAGCAGAAATGGGATTACCTGATAAAGGTTCCTGGAATATGTTGAATATTTTTTGTCTTTTACTAATTAATAAAGAACAAGCCTGAAATATTTGACCTAAGCTTTATGTTAGAATGTTCATTAGTTACAGTTTATATCCTGCAAAAATGGATTTTGTCTTATTGACTCATTTGAGATCAAATCCCCTGTGTCAAGGGGCTGATCTTATGACAGCAGGTTTGTCGCAAGTGCCGATTGGCTTGGGATATAACTGTTGCACGAGAAAGAAACCATTTAAAACTTCATCATTTATTCTGCATTATGAGGCCTGAATTTTATGTATGTTCCATTATACCTTCACTTCCATTTCTGATGAAAAATATGGTAACATACTGCACTGTATGTAAGACCTTAGTGATGGTGCTTTTATGTTGAGCTCTGTGCAAGATCCAACATAAAAGCAAAGATTTAAAAATACTCTTAGTAATACAAACTCCACTCACGGATGCTGTAAGTAAACACATTACTTCTTCAAAACAGGATATATTCATCCTTTAGTTCTACTGCGTGATCTTGACACACTGCTCTTCCCAGTAGAGGCCACTCTAACAACATTATCACTTTTGCTGGATCGTTCATATGGGGTATCCTGGACTGACACAACCACCAACCTGCTATAGAATCAACACACATACTGCCCTTAAGTCAAGTAGCACACAAGGTTCTGTATACTTGAACTGGTCAAGCAGTAAAACAAACGGAGAGGTGTTGAGTAAGCCTTCATAGAGTAAAGACTTACAAAATATGGCGCATGTATTTGAGGCTAAAGGAATTTATTACAAGTTTTATTCCTGTCAAAAACATTCTTATACCTTATGCTCAGAATAAAGCCTTCAGAGATTTCTGATGAGGCTTTGGCAGAAGATCAGTGTTTCTTACTCTGCAAACGTTCTTCTAGTATTCCAGGCTTTTCATGATTGAGTGTTTGATGTTACTGATGAAATGCTATTTGCCAGACCTGTTCTAACCTCTCTGTATACGTCTGGAGTGTATTTCTGATTTTGGAGCTCATTTCAGTAAAGAAATCATCATACATTTCACTTCAGTCTATGTCCCATTTCAGTTTTTCCTTGCAGGGCTACATGATTGTTATGTTCGTAGATAACTCGTTATATGAAACCAAGTAACATCATGTCATAAGAACAGTGATGTGCCTTCAAATGGCCAGAAAAAGCGCACTGTACAGCACCCATTGGAAGAAGGAAAGACCGAAAAACAAATGACATTTTTCCTAGATTCTTTTCTTTTTTTATAGGAACATAATCTGACATTCTACTCATAAGCTCTGCCTTTGAAATGATCTAAAGCAGACTGAAAAGAACACAAAGGGCAAAGCTAAATTTTGACAGACTTCACAAATGTTTAACATTATGAATCATTCCCAACATTCCACAAGCACCACACTTCCAAACTGTGTTAAATTCACAAGTGAAAATATAGCTATTTGCCCATTGAAGAAAGCCGTTTTGTACAATGGGTGAGAGTTGTCT